ACTGACTTTTTGATCTATCTTGATCAACTGAGGTAATTCTACACAAGTATTCCACGATTTCTTTATGGAAAGCACAGTGTGAAAGCTACTTTCTGAGCCGTTACTGGTGCGTATTCCGGTAATGCTATCTCCAATGTTTGCTCCAAGCTGTATCAAATTCTACCACATTCCGACTAGTCCACTTGCGTTTCCAACTAACGTTGGGTTGTAAGACTATGTGGTGATGTGATGTTCTGATAATCCGCCATATCAGTGAGGAGTTGAACATTTTAACTGATCACTCATGGGAGATCGTTTTTGAAATTTAGGAATAGGTGGGGCATCAGTACCGGATCTTTTAGGTTGTCATATTGCACTTCTGATAGGCCAGTGATAGGTGTTTATGCGTTGAGCAATTGGCTTCCTGGTCTTCTTGAGGTGCTCAGGTGAAACGGTTTCTAAAACATTTGCTATGAGGAGTTGAATCTTGTATACAAGAGGGAGCAGTGACCGGCGACGTCTGCAGCAGATCCACTTTCTTACGATTGTTGTGATCTAGATCGTTGAGGAAACACCCACAATTGTACTGCCTAGGTCGGTGAACCGCTCTAAGCTATCTACCTGTGTTTCATGTTTTTTGTGCGAAATGCTTTTGCTTATCGAGATTTGCATGGCGATTACTAGTTTGCAGTGACCGGAAAGGATGTACCCAACGATTATGTGGGTCACACTCCAAGTAACTAAACAAGTGGTATATTTCTCGACATCGCGAGACACAGACCGATTACATGGCCTGATCAGCTTAAACAATTTTGTCGAATAATGGCGCAAGTTGTGCAAGTTTTACCGTGGTCCTAATGGAGTGTTAGAAGTGTTCTATCATTCAAAAGTGACGAAAGATGGTGAATTTGAGACTAAGAATAAATAGATGTATAGCCGGAAGTTTAAGTGAAGTCTTGACTTCATCGTTTCTGTCGTTCTAGTGCATGGCCGGATTTCACATTGGCCTCATGAGGCAATGAGATAATATGAGTTGAGTGAAGTTTCAAAATACGACAGGTCACAAATACGTTGTGCGGAATGCAATCAGACATAGCACATGCGTTTTCTAGCTCTTTGCTTGAAGCTTATGCACAGGCCGTTGCAGCAACATTAAGTGCATGACAGATGTCTTTCAATAGGATTATCATACGGCATTCCTTATAGCTGTGACGACCCTCATAGTTCAATTACGTTTACAACCCCAGAAAATGCAGTGAGTCTCTGTATTCTGTATCCTGATCCATGATACCAGAATGGTTGTAACCTATTTGAGCAAGTAACACCAATCAGCCGGAATCACACAGTCCCTTGATGAAATCAGAGGCAAAATTGTTATCTTACTGGTCAGCCCGAAGTTTTAGACATTCTGTAAACGACTACTCCTAGGATTCTGTAGTTTTGGTTCTGGAAGTTTGCAAAACTATAACACTCATATCTGCAAAGGCTTCCGAAGTTCCCTCGCTGTCAGGCCACTGGATACCCCTTTCGCGTTCAACCTATCAAAATATGTGTGCGTCTGTGCCTGGAACAATTGTAGTTCCGACGCCCATAACATAGTAAAATTATTGGTTAAGCACGCACGAAAGTACATATGGCAAATCTACATCTACCTCATCCACATCAACAATACCACGCTGCACTGAAAAATATTAGTTAAGTATTCATCCTTATCTGACACTGCTATAGGGAACCAAAGCACTGCCAATCCACTTCAGCAGAAGCACGTCTAACTGCGAGAGAATATGAGGTTACTAATGAGTAGAAGAGATTCTACTGAAAGTTGGTTTCATCCCCGTCAACTTGAAGTGATGTGGATCTGCCGCCGTCTCCCGTGGCTCAATAACATGAGCTGCAGGCTAGTGGTTCATGATGCTATCGGTTATGGATCCGGTTCCTGATGAAGCCGGAGAATTCGCACCATTGATGAGCCTCAATATGGCGAAACGGCTGCTTGGTGCTTTTGCAGATTGGTGATTAAGATATCTGGTTTGTGAGGCGCTGGGATGAATTAATCAAATAGCGGCACCGCAAAATTCATCCAATTTGTAAATCGTCATCTTCTGGCTTCAATGTCCACATTTTTGAAGGGAATTAACTGCCTCGAATATAGTCAGTCGAATTATGGGGTAAATTAATTTTAAAACAGCGGTAACTACGATTCAACTGCTAGAACCTTAAGGTACCGGTGGAATAGCGAAGGAAATGAAAGATCTGCGGTCTGCCTTGTCCTGCGCAAAGTGGCGAGGTGTGGGGTGGCAGAGTCTTAGACACAACATATCCTTGACTTTGATACGCAGCCAACCTTTGTCACTCACTGCCTACTAGCATAACACCCCGGTTTGTAGGTTGCACTGCAATGCGTCAATCCACGTAATTCCGAGGACTAGGCACATATAATGCCACAGTCTGTAAGATCTACCCGTCTGTTTCTTTGTCTATCAGAGAGCAAAAGTGAGTAGACTTCTCATTTGCAGTGAGCCAAACTCTCCAAACCGCTGGGGGATCAATACGTATCGCGGCTGGTTGTGAATGGTTAAATCAAACGTTTCTTTTGCTCGGTCCCATCCTACCTGTCTTTTCGTAGTACTGTTTGCGTTCTGTCCCATTCCCTCACCACTACTATTTTTGTTATCCTGGTGACGCTAGTGGGGGCAATTTGATTCACCGCACTTCAGTACCTGGATCATAGTGGTATAACCGAACGGCAGTTAACGTTTCACGCGCTCCTCATGCAGCTGATTCTTAGGCCTTATCTGCTTGCAATACTGAGCTCAGTGACTGATCTCCCACTTTTTGTACTGATTAGGCAGAGATAGCTGGACTGTGACTTCGAACCCGGTTACTTGGAACATTAGCCAAGCCTCTGCTGCTACGACACTTGTCAATCGCAACGGACATCTGCTGTAACCTAGAGTGGAATCAGACAGGATTTCCAGATACTGTTGACACCTTACAGATTACCTTCCCCAGATAAGACATGTCGTTAGAAAGGTTGTGTTAATTTCACGGTAGCTTTCGTAACTTGGAATAATCTAGAGAATGGCTCAAGTTTCGCAACTTGTACGAGCTTTCCGCTTTTATTTTGCGAGCGCAGTGCATGATAACTCGCAGTCTTGTACTAGGTCTTAATAGCGCTTAGTTGAACTACCCAGTGTATTCTGGTTTAGTCTGCCTAAAGAAACAGCTCGGCAGTGATGAGCCCTAACCCAGATAAAGGTGCGATAACTTGATCAAACGAATCACGATCTATCGGGACATCCGCATGTCACACATATACAGCGTATGTAGAGACAGTTTTCTGTCTACCAAAACCATTAGTTTCAATAAAAATGATCTTTTAACTTAAAATCTCCAGTCTAATGGAAGAAGGAAGCCGATCGGCCGTAAAATTCACGTACGTAGTGTCGCACAATGTCGGTCATAAGCTACGAAAGACGTATATCAAGTGTTCCCGTTTGGAAACTACTTATGATCAGGCAATTTATTGATCTTACACCCATTTTACAACTCAACTCTCCAGTTTGGAGTCTCCTCACTCATCATCATTCATCATCATCATACACGTTAGCTAGAGGTGGGAAACACCTCAGCTGCTGTGCCGCGATACATAGAAGAAAAAATGCAACCGATGTATGCCAGCCGGATGGGCATCGTTTCGGAACGCTACCAGCCGGTTACCAGCAGCAAAAAATTTGAATATGCAAAATTGTATTAGTCTAAGAAGTGAGATCGTCGTTGGATGGGGAGGCTAAGCGGGAGGAGGAGGGACAAAGAAACTTACAGCACAAACGCCATTGAGTCGGCTTCTAGCCATGCCAGCAAGTGTATCGATCCAAACGTGTTCATCGAATTTCGAACCCCAATCAGGCAGCCGAGACGTTCTAACCGAGGCCAGCTTCGAAGTGAGGACCTTCACTCCTCTTCAGCAAGTCATCGCTTGACCACCTCTCTTCTTCCATCCGCACCCCGACGCGCAAACAACGCACTTCGCGAGAGCTCGTGGACTGGCATGCGTAACAAGTAATCGAACCATCCGGACCTGGTGCGTGCAATAACGGTGCTGAGCGCATCATTTCCTTTTCCTGTGCCGTAGAAACGCGTCGGACACGCTCGTTGCTCACGCGGTGTTCCCACCAGATGTGAGACATAATGGGAAGGTACCGGTGGTCGAACGTAACTAGCCTGTTTCTCTCGGCTGATCTAAGGGGTTAGGTACTGTAGTGTTTTACATATCTCATTCCATATATCATTCTACAAACTTTACACTACTCACGAACATCCAAAAATATATCATTCCAGTTAGCGTTTATCAGCAAACGGTGACATGAGGTGTAATCAGTTGAGTTAACTGCGACGGGGGATGTAAAGCGAGACCATGAAGGCAAGACAATGGCAGCTTGGTCCTTATTTACTATTCAACATCCCTTATCTTTCTTAAGTTCCTTTTGCATATATCCCAACCGACTTCAACCGGTGGTGACATGGTTGTTGTAGGGTGCCGTTTCCTTGTTGCGATAATGTTCACAATGCACTTTCCGTACCGGCACGGATGACCGGTGACACTCCGGTCGCAATCCGCTGAGAGTCCGAAAAACTCCCAAGAGAACATGTTTCAAACTGCTACTGAAATATCGTAATTTTCCACAGCACCCTTTGCGTCTGTCTATTTTCCACAACGCATTATCTTATCTTGCGTATCACCCTGACCCCATCTATCGCGCAGTTAACAGCACATAACATAAGGGAGGTATTGCATTTCGCCAGAAAATCACTGATATTTAAAAAGGTGAAATCACTGGCATTTATATAAAATAATCGCACCAACTAATTACTCGCAACGGTTAGTATCACATATCACATAGGGTAAAACAAATATTTTTCTAAACTCATTACATAATCTAAGTGTCCACTGAACTCCAGTTTCTCTGGTGTGGTTTTACCCTCTGTATACCTCGGCTGAGCACGACCTTTTATTATACATGTCACTTCCAGAGCGTACTCTTTGTGGAAAAGTATTTTACAAAGACCAGGACAAAATCTACTGCGAAGAGGACTACTTGGTAAGTAGCTGTTTAGATTGGAATTCCTTCCTAGCGCCGCATTTTATCACTTACACATTAATTGATTGCCAACCTAATTAGATTAATGTGTACGTCCTTACTAGTGAAGCCGAAACGCTATTTAGTACAGGTTGTTAAGACAACCAAAATCTAGAGTGGAGGTGGATACTGGTGAGCCGCGGAACTTTCCATATGCAGGCTTCTGTTAGAACTGTATAATGGCGAACAACCTGGCATGGTTCTGAAAAAATGTATCGCTGGCGAACCCTAATCCACACAGAACGACAATTGTACTCTGCGAGCATGGTACTGCGACAAACAACCGGGCAGGATTATTACTTTTCTCCTTGGAAAATGATTACATCTACACACACATGTTAATGACTGCGTAATAATTAAGTCACCGCTATTATCAATACAATCACCCCGATTAGATGATGTACAATATCTATGCTGTCTACTTCCAAGAAATGTGGTATGGTAACCCTACTTCGCACCGTATCACAACAATAAACTCAAAGGTCAACTTCACAAAAGTATAACGATGACGCACACGAAAGACGTAGAAGCTATGAAACTGAAACGTTCAGCAATAATCGTTTCGTGGTTGTCTGAAAATGTCTGAAACACAAATCAGACAACGGTTGGTGTTTTTAGTACAGAATTATCTAACAAGACAGGGGTTATTGTGCTCGCTGGATACGTTGACGGCTGTTTTGCGTTGTTCGATGGCATCAAAAGGTTTCATTGAATCATCAAGGAGCTTAAGTTTTCAAAGCTAAGACGTGTCAGGCTCATGAGACGTCGGTTCCGAGACTCGTTGTACTAAGCTGATGCCAACATGATGTGATTTCTGTGATCCAGCCTTGACCATTCTAGTCATACCGTGTGCGGTGTAATGCCAAATGCATTTTGTATACGAAATTTGCTACTTTAGAACTTCGATCCCCCGCATTCGATCGTTCGCATGTCTAAAAGTACTACTCTATCTGCATTTCAGTATTGTGGATTTCAGCAAACGGCCGAAAAGTGCCATAACTGTGGGCATCTTATCTACGAGACCGTAAGTTCACTAACGACAGGTAATTACTCACAACCTTACGGAACATCTGGCATCATCAAGCAACCTGTAATTTATTCATTTACCCATTTTATTAGGTATGAAGTATACAGTGATACACTCACTGGCTTTAACCCAGACCAATATTTTTATACAAGGTACAACTTATTTTTAGTGTAGAATCATGTCAGTCTGACTTATAAACAACCAAAGGGGTTGTGTCTCAATTGAACCGTTTATATTAGATCCAATTTAGTAGGGAGTTTCTGGCGTAGAAAGTGGTCTTTCCAGAACTGCAGTCAGTTACATTATAGCCCAAACTTACGATGGTTCACCCTTCTTGAAAACTGTATTAATTCGATTTTTGTTGCCCCGTTTCTTGGCGATCCTCTAAGGATTCTTACATCACGAGTAATGCTTGCACGGGGACAAAATGTGTCAGAATTTCTTAAAAATCTTATTGCTGCTTCGGGATTACCTAACAACCTGCTACCAGGCGTTGAGAGGAATATAATTATCTGTCTCTAGTGGCCTGGTAAGACTGAGTTCACTTTTTCCACCTATTGACTCCTATGCTAATCGATCCGGCTGATGCAACGAGTTCCGTAGACCGAAAACAGTTCAGTAGATAGTGCCATCCAACGATTGTGATGAACGGCTAACACAGTAACCTGAAGAATGAATTGCTCCTAATAAATATATAGATAAGCCGGTCTTCACAGGTAGCACTGGCTTTAACTTATCATAAACTAATATCTGTCCCACCCGTAATTCTGGCTACTGTTGCCATCATAGCTTGAAAGTCATAAAATTCGACCGGCCTTTTTCCTAGTGAGAAACAGCAGTATGTGAGACAATTACCACCACGGATACGCGCAAATGCAAACCTCGCCACATTCCAAACAACTACAGAAAACTTTCTCACCATATTGGTTGTGATAAAGTCATTTGTCTCACAACAATCTCTAAACACATAAACGGAATCTGTCCTAAACAGCGTCTGAACAGCTAAAAGTCTACACAAAACGTCGCTTCCCTTTTCATCACCCACACAACGAAATTTGTGTCCACGACATCTACTCTTCTCATTCCCTCACCTTTATTGCTCCCGGATTTTGCCAACCCAAACTCGTAAATCAATGGCACAAACAATTGTACCAAGTGAATGAGTTGTGAGAAATCGGGGCGCTGGCAGTCAAAACCACTAATACATTAATTCAGTAAATAGGGGGACTGGACAAATTCATGCAAAGTATTCATGATGTACAAACTCACCAAACTATGGAGCCGATTCTATGTAAGAATGGGCATCCCTACTCAAGAATCGCATATGCTTTTTGGAAAATGTACAAATTTATTTATGTATTGTATTTATTTACATGGTGTTCAACCACATTCACGCTGTAAGTTCTCCATGGCTAAGCCACTCGAGAAGGTAATTCCACAAAATAAATCCTTCAGCTGCCTGCTCAAACTAATTGTACATCCGCTGAATAACCACTCATCACCTGAAGCAGCATTGGCGCTCACAATTATGGTGGTCGCTAAGTGAGCAGATGCTGTACACTACACGTGGGCTACGTTGTGCGATATCACTCCTAATTAATGCATCTTCCGTATTCGCCCTTTGCTATTAAGTGTTGAGCAAAACGAAGCTATTGTCTTCCCCATCGGCAACGAGTTTCAATGTATGTATTTACGATATTACTTAGTTTCATAACGATCAAATTCAGTAGCGGTTGTCATACACATTTGCGTTTGAAGCACTCACTGTATCGGCAAACTACAACATATACTCCCAAATTGGACTGAAAACCACTTCGATACAACCCCCGGTCTTTCTGGACCTATTGCTTTCCCATGGTCTTCCATAATCTCCTGAGTAAGGACCACAAAGTAATTGCAAGAGCAACGAAGCATCTATCCCGGTATAGTGACATTTCGAGGCTGGAGCTTCTTAATGTCATTGTAGCCATCCATTCTAACGCATGTAATAAGCTTGCATCTAAAATACTGACTTATGTTAGCCATCCCCTCCACAAAGCGTCCTCATCATCATTATACACATTAGCTACTGTGCCGCGATATATATAAGAAAAAACCTCACAAACATGCAAAAAACATGCATGTTAATAATAATAATAAAGTGCATGTTTCCTTTTAGGTGAAAATCTGTGACAATATTGGGCACAGCACATACACACACAGGTAATGCCTTGCTCTTGCAAGAGCACTATCAAGTTATCTTCTAATCTTTGTCTGCATTTCTCGCAAGGTATTTGCCCCATATCTTTGTCTTATGCGATGGTAGGAGACAAATTTGCTGTTTGAGTATGTTGTAGACTCGGAGGAATAATTACATTGCGTGAATCAGTGATATTACACCCATTAGACGTTATCTGGACTTTCACTGGATGGATGTTCAAATGATCTTCCCCACGAAAAAACGACATAATGGTGTCCATGTAGAGGTAGCTTCCCAACCTACTGCGAAAGGATTGCACAGTCTCACATGACCTGATGGTGAATGACAACCGATTCCACACAGAAGCATATACGGTGAGACGACAGTTAGACTGCGAATTTGTCTTGCATCGTGATATAATCGGGGTAAGGTCTTTGTTATCTAGGTCTTGCGTGTAATTGTGCTTCTGTGTTAAGGTGAATCGATTGCAATGGGTATTGCCATAAATCTGATTGTGCAGCAATCTCAAGTTATCTTTTAGTCTTCGCAACCAAAGCGGATTGAGATGGAGTTGCTGGCAACACTCCCGAGAGTTTATGATAGAATTGTTTCCCAATACGTGCTTAGTAAATGACCGTTGCAGGCTTTCTATCGATGTTCTGTCTGCTTTTCTCATGTGGCCTCAGATTATGCTGCGAAACTTTAGGATGGGACGATTGAGGATTTCAAATAGTTCAACTGTAGCTGTGATTGTATGCATGTTATGAGTGATGTTAGCGAATGATTGTCTGGCTCGTGCTATCTTGTACACAATCTGTTTTAGAACACAAAGGTACAAGAATATCTGATTCCAAGGTCACAGGAAGATCGTTGTACACAGATGCGTTCGCTGTTACCTATGGTAGATACTTCAGGTGTCAAGCGACCGCGACATATGACACTCGACTGTTGGGCTTAAAACGTCATTATCCACTTGTCGCACCAAGTCTCAGGCGAATGAATGTATTCTCGAATGAGTGGTAGTACATTCGGAAGCTCAACTCCTCGGTACTTGTGGACAAATGTTATATCATCAACAAATAAATACGGCACGCCATTTTTTTTAAACAGAACTGCTATCATTGACACCAAGAAAGGAAATTAATGTACCGAGCGCACATCCTAGTATAAACCCCGATGGTAATTGGACGCGGGGAAGAGCAATATTCGCTTAAGATGACTATTATAGCTGGGCCGTTCATTTATGATGCTAGCCAACCAATTAATGTGTTGCAAACTTCAAAGAAATCTATCTGAATCGGTAACCGTTTATGAGGCCTCCGATCGAATGTATTCGGCCTGTGCAGACATAGAATTAGTATGACATATTTTGTGTCAATGGAGTCCGGCATGTAGTTTAGGTTATGCAGCTACCAAAATGTGTATGAACGTTAGTCAAGGAAATCAGTTTAGTACCCGTCTATCAGCTCCAGTGAGTTGATGAACTTCCTCACACTTTTGTACCCATTTCACGAATAATCCGGATATTATAGGAGTGTTTTGGCTTGGCCTGTTATTGTCCATCTCCGGTTTTGCGCAGCCCTTGCGGCGAGGGATGATAAATGGAATTTTTCATCCATCTTCAAAGTGATTGGATCCCAGTGAAACGGTAAACCTAAACAAAAGAAGCAGTGACCTATCAGGTCCTCCCATTTTCATGGCGGATGGAAGGATGCTATCAGCTTCCAGAATATAGCACGATTGAATAGAATATGTTGCTTGGCGGATATTGCGGAGAGTAATAACACTTTAGATAGAGCCTTATAGCGTTGGTGTCAAGAGTCATGTAGGTGGAGGAGAAAGAGCTAAATGCGCCGGGATATCGTCCACCAGTTCAGTGATCAGTGAAAAGCGTTTGTTGATTCTTCGACAGAGAAATCTGACCAGCGTTTTGCTTCACATGTCATTCGAAGGGTTGTTTGTTCTTCATGTTTTCGCCCCACCAATTACAAGTGCTTGATTGCAGAGATGAGTCGGTGAATCTGTGTAATCATTGTAAAATATCCTATGCATTTTCAGCGCGTGATCGATTTACCGGATTTCTACTCATCGAACATTCGACTGCGATCGCCGGTACGCCTTGTGAAAGGAGAAGGTTAATGTATCAAGTATATATTGCGGTTGACTTGACGCCGAGCTTATTAGGTCATGTGCAGCAATTGAGGAATAACGAATGCATGTATTTTGCATCTGCCGCGTATATAGGCAGTTTGAATGCCGCGGTTCTCTCTCTCTCTCTGTCTCTCCCTCGATATATATATATATATATATATATATATATATATATATATATACCACAAATGCAATCGTACGCCTCCGCGCAAAGCCCTCATCATCGGATGCTGGAATGTGCGCACACTACTGGACCGGAAATCCAGCGAGCGCCACCGAGCGACTCACTGCACTTGTCGCCATAGAAATTGCGCGCTGTAAGTTCAACGTTGCGGCGCTCTGCGAGACTCGGCTCGCTGAGCAAGGTAATTTTCGTGAAGCAGGTGATGACTGCACACCACGTGATCATGGGGTCGGATTTGCAATATCCGATCGCCTAAATGGCCAGCTGGTGGGTGAACCAACAGGCACCAGCGCGCGACTGATGACTGTTCGCCTACGACTCAGAAGAGGTAAGTTTGCTACTTTTATAAGCATGTGCGGTCCGACCATGTGTTATCCTGATGAGACGAGTGATCAATTCTTCACTCTGCTATCCTCCATGACATGGTTTGTGCTGAGGAGCAACTGGCTATTTCTGCTGGGTGATTTCAACGCGCGCGTTAGGCGTGATGCGTCGGTGTGGACAGATGTCATCGGTCCGCATGGCATTGGTTCAGCGAAGGCGAACGGTGACAGGCTGCTCTCACTTTGTGGCACTCACAGGCTGCGATCAGGAACACTTGATTTGCACTGAGCACGAGTGATATAGCAAATTGGACGCACCCACGGTGTGGTCA